CGTCTCATTTCGTTTCAAACTCAGACATGAATCAAACAATGAAAACAATAAAGAAGATGGAAACACCGAAGCTTACCGATCAAATACGCTTTGATGGCGCTTTGAAGCTGCTAAAAGGAATCAACAATCCTTCTATTCAGGTACGCATAAGTCCTTAAGTTTTGCTTATGATCTTTTCACTCCTCTTATTCAAATTTCTTCTGCGATTTTATTGTGTGTTTGCATGATCGACGCATTGTTGAAGATGTGAAGCAGTTGTTGTGTTTTTTGTTGCAGATGCAGAAATTTACATGAAGATGAAGCCGCGTGAAGATACAGTGATTCACATCGATGCAATGGTACAATTTTGTGTTGTTGTTGTAGAGACGATGCAGATGATGATGGAGATTTCTATTGAAGGTTGAGATGATACATTGATGAAGATGAATGGTGTGAGGATGAGAGTTGCAGAGAGAGATACGAGTACAACTTTTGTCATTAGATGTTTTGTATGATGTCAAAATTAGGAAAAACTAGCATTTCTGTATATTGGACAATATCTCTATGTCTCATGGCACTCCTTTGCATTAGGGGTCTTAGGAACCATTAAAAATCATTTTGAAATTGATTCAAGTCATGAAAATCAAGTTTCTGCATAAATTTTTATTGCATGTGTCGACACATACAATTTTCAGGATGACACATGCAACTCAGTTTTGAAGCCTGTAGCCTCTGGAAGGCTCTGGTCGACACATGTGTTGCATAGATCGTCACATACCGAAGCACTTCTGAAATTACATAAATTCCTATTTTATATGTCAACACATATAAATTTCAGGTTGACACATTTACTGTTGTTTTAAAGCTTGTAGCCTCTGGCTTGCTTCTGTCGACATATACTTTCTTTCAGGTCGACACATATAACTTAAACTTAATGTATGTGTCGACACATACGATTTATAGGTCGATACATACTGATTGTTTTGGTCAATTTTTAAAATCTTTTTAATTCTGAAAAAGTCCTTTTTGCCCTAAAATTCCAAAACTATAAATACATCATTCATGCATCATTACAACTTAATGATATCATAAAATTAACCTATATTTACTCTTCATCTTTAAACTCCAATCTTTGCATACACACTAACATTCCATTGTAACGATCTTTTGTTGGAGTTCCATCTAGACGATGTTTGATAACATTCAATTAGGCTCTTGTGTAGCCGAAAATATTGGGTTGAGATTTGTAGGGGTCTTCATCCGAAAAACCGTGGGTTTGTCCTCCAAGATCATTGGTTGATTTAGGGGTTTTCATGCAAGACATTTAAAAGGTGATTGCGGCCAAGTGAAGTCCTTTGGAGATAAAGAACGCAAGGGATCTTTTGGAGATAAAGAACGCAAAGGAAGTAGCGAGAGAATAATAGATCACAATTGAAGTCCTGTTTTACAATAGGTACAATTGATAGTTCGTGCGTGAAAGCTTTAGAGATAAAGAATGCAAAGGAGTAGTAATATCGACAACTCAATTGGGATCTATTGTGTCTTCGTATCTCTCAAGATAAAAAGAAGATAAGGGGTTGAATCAATAACAATCATTAGGGTTTATGGAGTTGCTCTTGAACACTTCTCTTGTATCAACTTTTGCATAGTAAGAATTATCCTAATTCTATTGGAATTAGGCGCAGATGTACCCATACGCAAGGGCGAAAGTGGGGAACTTTGAAGATAAATCCTTGTGTCTCTTTTCTTATTACTTTTACTTGCTTTAATTTTCATAAATCAAATTTTCTAATAGCATTGTGTTATCAATTGATTCGTAAGAATTTTTCTGGACTATTTTTCATCTTATTCAAGTGTTGATATTGCTTATAATCACTTTTGATTATAAGTGCTTTTTGTATCAACACAACTTAAAGGAAAATTGTGAAAACTCAATTTCACACCAAGTGTTTGACAAATTGTTTTGTTAGCTTTTTTGATTAATTGCCATTGGAAATAGCATTACTAGTAACTTGATACAAACGTTAAGTAAGCTGTAAATTGATTCAATTTATTAATTCAAACTATCAATCTCATTCTATCGTACAAACGACTTATTTTCAAAAACACTTCCACTCAAACTCTTTGATAAATAAACTTTCAAAACCAGAATTTTCTAGATTTTTAATTGGGATATCTATTCACCCCCATCTAGATACGTTGTCGTCATCTAAAAAGAGAGGTTGGAGATGAAGAAGAGTGAAAGAAATGGTGAAAAAGAATCGTGGAATGAGAAATTTGGAGGGAGAACGAATATATAGTACTGAGTTGAAGAGGAAAACAATTATGGATGAATGATTATTATCCTTAAGATTAAATGGAATTTGTTATGAGATAAAGGGATGATATTGATTTAGTAGAGAGGTTATTTAATGAGTTGTTATTTCTCTATTTTGTTTTTTATGAGTTTGTGCTTTGTTTCTTATTTCACTTTCTTATGATTTTTCTTTTATTCTCTCTGTATTTTGAACTGAGGCAGGACAGGGCATCATTTATTTGTTGGTTTGTCCTTGAACCCTCTTTTATAAATTATAACTATTGCAGGTTGGTGCCATTTTTGTTACGAAGCAAGTTTAAGCATGTTTGTCTTGGATTGATGGTGCAGTTTGTTGATTAAAAAAGGGTATAATTTCTTGATGTTCAAGTTAGAGATCAAGTGTATGCATAATTGTTTGGTTGTAGATGTTTTTTGGCCACTAGACAGGTTGCTGCAAAACCTAATTTATTATGTAGGTGGCATGTTGGACAAGTCTTGGCATGATGGACATTTGAAGAAAGCTTGAGATTCATGAAGAAACATAGGTTTAGGATAAAAAATTGTGTAATTTTCTCACTATGATGTAACTTGGCTCTTGTAGTTGCACATGCCAGGGTATTTGTAATGAATGAATGTGGTAAACTTGACAACTTGTTGCACCCTTGAATTATACTTGAAGAAAATTCAAATTCAACACTTTGTCTCAATTGTAAATCATTTTGAATCTGAATGAATCTTAAACTCTTGATAACTTGAACTTGTATTTTGAAATGATGAATGAATATGAATGATGTTTGAAATTTAACATGGTTGAATTCTTTGATGAACTTGAATGTAATTTTTAGTTGTTGAAACTTGAATGATATTATGGATGTGGTTTAATATTTAAATGAAACTTGAATGGCCTTTGAATAGAATTACGAATGCCTTTGAATGCAGTCATAGATGAATATTTGAGCATACTTCCATGATCTCAAGAGGATATTTGAATCCAAAATCTCTTTGTAAACCATACTCATATCTTTAAGAAACCCTAATTTTATGCTTGAATCTCAAATCCATAATGCCTTGTATTCTAAGCCAAAGTTGACTGGAAAAGCATCCTTGCACCATGATACACGAATCCTTAATTGATGGAGTGAGGAATAGATGAATCCAAACTCTATTTGTAAACCAAATCCATGGTTCACACCTTGTAATTTAAGCAACAAAATGAACCCCTTTTGACTGATGAAATATGGTTTCAAGGAGATCTTAATGGATGATGTACCATGTGATATATCTTGACCAAACCCTTGACCAAATGGTAAACACAATCATATGAGGGGATGTCTTGATTCAAAGACCATGTATGCAAGTTCACACCTTTGAGTTCTTGAAAAGAAAACCATATAATCATGAATTGTGAGGCAAATAGTTGGAAGAAGACCTTAGATGAAACTCAAGCCCATAATGTTGAAGGAGAGAGGCTCAAGATAGCCATAGGATCAAATCCTAGCACAATAGATGAACACCCTAATCTTTACTCCTTGAAGAAGAAAACCTTGTAACTTAATGTTGAGAAGAGGAGAATAACCTTGTAGTTCGGTGAAGAAGAAGTCCATAACAACCATACTTCAAAACCCTAATTCCACTTTAATGCTCAAAAGAATAACCAGATGAATCAGTTTTATTGATATGTACACCTCAAAAACCAAAGTGAAACCCTAGCTTGCATGACCATTGATCCTTTTCAACCAAGATTCCTTATTCAATGATGAATGCTATGAAAATGACCTAATGAAGTGTATGCAAATGAAATGAGAAACATAAGTCAAATAAAAGTATAAGGGTAAGACAAATTTGGAGTATGACATAAATCATTATGAGGTCCCCTCTCCAGGATGCTCCTGCCAACATTGTCTGCAGACAGTTGGATAACATTGTGGCAGATTTTGAGAGTCGTCTAGTACCAGTGGAGTATCAGAGTCATGAAGCCACAAAATAGTGGTCTTATATGGAGGGTTACATGACACCAGACGCTCCTGAACGTCCACCTAGGTCTACTCATGAGGAGATAATGGAGAATGAGCCGACCATGAATGACAATGTCGTTTATGTGTTACCGATATGTCAGATCATTATGCGGATGACATGAGAGAGCATTGAGTCTGGCTATTCGAGAGAGGTGGCAATGAAGCGATTGCCCTATCACATTCTATTCTTAGCGATGCACTGAATGCCTTGGGTTAGCATAGGAAGAGGAGGATCCCAGGTGTTATAGGATTAGACATGCTCAGTAGACTGTGCTTTTGATTGTATTTTGTTTATTTTTCATCGACTTAGAGATTAATTGTTGTACTATTGTAATATTTCTTATATTCTAACGCATTACCTTGTTCTATAATACTCATTTTTATTAATCTTATTGAAACAAATAACGACAATGTTAATCAAATTAAAATTAGTTTGAATTGAAAACACCATTGTCTCTAAACTAAATTTATATTAAAAAAAATAGTATTTAATGTATTAGATGATATGTTACCCAAAAAAAAAAAATAATTATGTTAAAGAATGTGCTATTGAGGTTTGAACTGTAAACAGTGTGGTGCTAGTTGGGACAAAAGAAAACTTATTTAGGTAAAATCCATGCGAGCGAGCCACTGATCGATCGATTCAAAGCTTAAAAGCGCGCGAGGGTTTGGTTTGTTCAGAATCAAGACTCAACAGTATTCAATTCACCATGAAAGAGCTCTGTAGAAATTTCCAGCGAGGCAGGTTATTCGTCTTCTTCTTTTTCTTCTTCATACTGTATTGTTCGTGTTCCATTCTTGTAACAAAATCGATTTTCAGTTTATGCATACAAATCATTTGAATTGGTGTTTGTTTGTTTGTTGTTCATATTTCAGTTGTACTTATGGAGAAAGGTGTAGATTTCTTCATCAACAACCAAATCAACAGCAGCGAAAATCTAATGCTTTTGGAGGACAGACCAATTCATACCAACAACCGAATAAAAACCCTTTTGGATTTGGGTCTGCTTCTGCCTCTGCTCCCAACCAACAACAAAAGAACAACCCTTTTGGTTTTGGATCACAAAACACCTCTCATTCAAATGGGCCCCCTAAACCAAACCAATTCCAGGTTCTTACTTTTTTTTCATAGACATGTATTCAATTAGCTATTTGCGAGTTTATGTAATGAATGTTTACATTCAATTAGCTGATTGTGTTTGGATATACATGTTGGAGAGCTATTTTAGTCGTCAATGTTTGGTTTAAAAGTGGAAATAGGACTTGGAGGTGGATAGGAGTCAAAGAGGGAACAATTGCATAATCTATTTTCATAAGTTACCTCAAAGAGATTATTAGAATATGCTGTTTTTGGCAATAATCTCAAGTAGGAGGTATAGGGTTTGATTTAATGCCTAGAAACTAGCATAATCTTTTACTTATTAACATTTGTCTATAAAATAAAGATATCTTTCCGGCTAATGAAAAACCATAAGCTATTGATATGAGCTCCATCTAAGCACATTGAATAAATGGTTTTGTTATTAGATAAGCTTAAATAAACAATTTCAAACGTCTACCATTATAGACATTATTCCGTATTGGAAAAGAAAATAGATGGTAGGTTGAAGATAACCACTATACAAGAACTTCCGATATGGTGGTAGAAGTCTCCGATGATCAGAGAGAGGTAGGTACCTGCAAGGTTAGCACCCTAATGCTCAAGTCTGTGTTTGAGAGATGAATGGGGGATGGTTAGAACCGTTTCTGGTTGGCTCGACGTGGATTGCGGGCGACCGTTGGATGCAAATCAACTGTGGAGAATAGGACGGGAGTCGTATTCTTGTGTGATGTCTCAGAGCGAAGGTACAATTGTTCGTCATATGATGGCACTTTAGTTGGATTGGGCCTCTATATTGGGCCGGTCTTATTGAGCCTTTGGCCAGCCCGGAACAAACACATTGTGAGGTGTTTTTTTAAAATGTTGGCCATTATTTATAATGCATGAATATATCGTTGATACTCTTCAATATTTAAGGAGTACCTTTTTGTGATGTTCTCAATGTTATGTTTGGTTTCACCTTCCTTGTTAATATGATTATGTGATTATTTGTTTTAGTATTTATAATTTACTTCTGAATCAGCCTTTTGAAAACAAATGGAGTCGAACGTCATCCAAACCCCAGAATGGCACTCAACGTCCCTCTGATAACAATTCCCAACCAGTGAATCATAAGTAAGTACTGATCAATCCATTACTCTTACTCATATCTCAGCAAACAGTCATTTTTCTTTATGTAGCAGTGAAGAACATATGGGTGAAAATAATGCCACCTATATGTTGGATATATGCCATTTTACCTCTGAATAGAAAACTTGAGAAGACAGGCCTAACCACCAACACTGTGCATAACATAACACACAGACTCCTGGTGCTTAGGGTTTTGCCTTTGATTTAAAGATACAAATATTTCAATATGTTACTTATGCACTACCTATGTTTCAGCTAAAGTGCGCACTATGTTTTTATATAATTTGTTAATGAGTGAGTAAAATGTGTGTTACACTGTTTTCTCAATTAAATACAACAACAATTTCTAAGCCTTATCCCACTAGGTGGGGTCGGCTACACAGATCAACTTTTGCCATAATGTTCTATCAAGGACCATGTTTCTACCAAATCATTAGTCTCGAGATCTTTCTTAATAACTTTTCTTATAGTCTTTCTAGGTCTTCCTCTTCTTCGAATTGTTTTCCTTTTCTCCATCTTTTCTCAATTAAATAAACATGCAAAATTAAATTTAGTGTTATTATTTTGCTTTCCTTCACTATTGTGGCCTTTTTTCGTGTTAACCCGACCACCTCCTTTTTTTATCTGATTATATTTCCTTTTTTTGTAATAAATAAGTCTCAATATGATGATTTTATTTCCATGCTCCCTATCAATGTTTGTGGCTTTTGTCTTTTTCTAAAATTTTACAATTTGCAAGTTATATATTTCGCTAAAGCTTGGTTGATGTAAATGAAGATGCACAGATCCTGAGATTTGCAAGCGCCAGATTGCAGATGATTTTGAGCAAGAGAAACCACTTTGGATACTTACATGCTATGGTCATTGCAAAGGGTAAAATTTTCTATGCACAAGGGTTTATAGACATTAATCAAATTTGTTTTTGATACTATAAATAATATGTTTCTTATTCATGGTAGAAGTCATTGTGTAGTAGTCTAGTACCCAATGAAGTAACAAACCATGTAGACAACGATCCGTATTCCTCAAAACCCGTGAAGTGGACTGTGTTACAAAAGATTGTCAACTATTTTTGCATCTATTCTTCACATCTAACAACAATTAAACCACTAACCATTATTCATTTCCTCAAGCTCATATCTTTGAAAGCCGTTTTCAAAGATGAAAGATGTTTTAATGGGGACCAATTTTATTTGCATGAAAAGACAAGTCATTGGAATTTGCATGGTGTGTTCACACACAGTCCCATTTTTTATTTAAACTTTAGCAAACTTTAGTGGAGTCTCCTTTAGTTACATATGAGTTATGCCGCTGCCCCAGTCAGATAAACTGTTTGGAATAAGGAGTAAAAACATCATCTCAAGGAATTCCGTGTACCATATTCTATATCGAATAACAGATCCTAATCTACTTTCCACTCTTGAAAGAGAAATAACTTTAAAGAATATTAGTCAATGCATTAATAAGAAAGCTAAGTATCGGGATTGATTTTGATTTTTTTATCCAGTGCTCCTTGTGACATTATTGGAGATATTAGCTATGAAGAATTAAGGGCATCGGCTTACGAGGATGCTAAGAAAGGAATGAGTTTGCCATTAATTGTAAGAAATCTGATCTTATGTACCTACACTTTCGTTGTGATATTAAGAGATTGTATTGCTTTGATGCATTTTTGTATTCCCTTTTGTTTTTCCTTCCCCTTCTGGTGGATATCTTATTCCCTACCTATACTTGCAATTCATTTTTCTCTAGTATTTTTTTTTTCTATTGAAGGAAAGCCTTTTTTCAACTTTTTGTACTAACGCTTGCAACGACAAGGTTTTTGTTACCTGCATGCAATTGTCTTCTCTGGTGTAACTTTAAAATATGTTGTTACAGGTTGAAAAGGAGAGAAACATACTAAAATCAAAGTTGGCTGAGTTTGACAAACTGCTCTCCGAACCCTACAAAATGCCTCTGAATTCTTCTCTTGACATTCAAAAGTACCAACCTAATGGAGCCAATGCAAATGCATTTTCACCAGCTACTCAAAATAATGGTCCTTTATCAGTCTCAAGCTTTAGCCAACTGGGTGCTTCACTGAACACTGGGTTTGAAAGGTAACACTAACATGATTTGGAACATTATCTACATTTTCAATTGTGTGTAGTCAAGAAATGGCCTAAATCAAGAAATATAAAATTTTTTCCCAACAGGGAATGCAAAGAGCTTCTTAAGTGGTTTATGGTTTGATAAGATATTGACAAGACCTGATGTTTTCTGACCTGGTTTCTTCAGTCGGCTACATCACACTTCCACGTGTTTCCTTTTTCTAAAACTCCTACTATCTACTATTTGTTTTTGTTGGGATTATGGCGTGATTGTCAAGAAGAGGGTTATGAAAGATATGAATCTTTCTATTATTGTGGTTTAAGATGTTAATACAGAGTAGTTGAATATCCTTGCAAGCTCTATAGAATGGCATAGGTCATGAGAATTTGGTGTCTGACATACCTATAATGGGTTATGATGGATTTTTTTGTTTGTTTGGAATTGAAGGATTAAAAAAACAGTGTATGCTATAATGGATAGGACGCTAGTCTCCAATCGTTCCTTTGTTTTATACTCTTGTAATTTTTATTTGTATGTCTGCTCTTGGTATTTATATGGTAATCTGTGTGTAACTTATTAGGCCCTCTGCACCACAAATGACCACTCCAGCCCAGCCTAATTCCTTTGGAAGTGGAGGTATGTGTTTTGCAAACCGTCTATAACAAGTACTATGACTACATTCTTCTTCTATTTTCCCTGTTTGACCATCGATGATGTGATGAATTGTGGGAAACCTTTTCACATCCAACACAGGAAACCTATTCGGCAATGGAATCTCAGGTGCTCAAAACAACACAGGAAACTCTTTCACATCCAACACAGGAAATCTATTTGCCAGTGGAATCTCAGGTGCTCAAAACAACACAGGAAGCTCTTTCACGTCCAACACAGGAAACATATTCGGCAGTGGAATCTCAGGTGCCCAAAACAACAACCCCTTTTCTACTCCAGCGACAATGTTTCCAGGATCAACTTCTCAATTCCAACAAACATCCATTGCGTTCAACAACACTAGCTCCACCACAATGCTTCAGTCAGCATCATCAGATGTTCAGTTGTAAGTCACTCACTCATCACATTTGGTTAAAATTCTGCAAAAGTAGTTGTGACAATTTAATCAAATTCCACTTCATTCATTACTCAACCAAAAATAGTACTACTACTGCATTACTTGGCCAGATACAACTTTTCAGTGAACATGGAGTTCAATTAATATAACATAGATCATAACCCAACCCAGCCCCTTGACCTTTAGTGTTTTCAGCCTGTTCCATCTTAAAATTAGTTATGCACTTTCAATTTGAGCAAATCTCTTGACACTCTTCTGTAATTCATTTTGTATCAACTCATAATCGATACTCTATTCAATTAATGTGACAAAGTTGGGTGCATAGTTCAGCGATATAATCATTTTTGCATAGCCATATGTTACAGTTTAGAGATTAGGAAGATTTTATCATTGGTAGATGCTTAAAGCAGATTGGTCGTTTGTTTCCTTTAATTATTTCAACAAAGCCTTCAACTTTTGTTAGTATATGAACCTTCTTGGAAACTATACCTTTATTACAACACTAACTTTCCGAGGTTATCATTATAAAACTTTTAATCCAGCTTCATTAGCAAGTTACAAATACTTCTGCTTGAATCTTATGTTCATCTATTCTTGCAGAAATACGTCCCAAGTGGAGAATGCGTCCGTAGATGAAAGTATCTGGTTAAAGGAGAAATGGAATCCTGGAGAGGTAAATAGTCTTCCATGTGCTAAAATACACAATTCTTCATCTCGGAGCACTAAAATTTGGCAGATACAGGCTTATTTTTTAATGACTATGTATATTAATATTCAAGTGTTGGGGATATTTCTTAATGGTTTGTGAGATTAATGCTAACATTTTTCTTTGTTTCATATATCTTTTAATTTGATAGATTCCTGAAGAAGCTCCTCCAGACAGATTTATTCGGTAGTCATCTGTGTACTTGCATGTGATGCAGAGTGGTTAGGTGTATTTTAAGAACTTAAGGTCCTTTCTTGGTTGAATTTTACAGAGGTATATCAACTGATGAATGAACAAGAAGAAATGAGGAGGTAAAAGCAGAGCGTCAATTACAGTTCTTGTACAGTGCAAGACTATTGAGCTCAAATCAATCTCTTCCTTGGTTCTATATTGCCTAATTAGAGAAAACCCCTCTATTTTGTTTCGATCGCATCTGACAATTTGCAGTTCAAATTTACTAGTTTTGTTGTAGTTATGATTTGTACATATCCCCAATTTCTAAAAATGATCGTAGGATGAAAATTGTGTTGACATGCTCACATTATGTTAAACCATCACACTTTCTGCCAGTTTATAGGTGAAAGTAACACACCATTTAGGTGTCAAGAATTATGGGCTGTTTACATTGTTTCATCTTTTAATATAGGGAATTTTTTAACGAACCATATGTATCTGAAAAAGACCCCGTAATTTCTAGAATGTTCATCTGTTTTCGAAATTGTATCTCCAGACGCATTTTTTTTTGGTTTAATGTTAGTTTGTTTTGGAGATGAATCTCCTGAACTTTTTTTTTTTAGTTATAAGGCAGTTTGTTTCGGAGATATATTTCCGTAAAGTATTTGAAGATCTATCTTCGTATTTTATGTAGTAAGTAAACACAGGTTATTTTTAAATGCTTCTCATATCAAATAGTTAGGAGGTATTTTAGGATTCAACATGACTAAGTATATGAATAAAATGACATATATAAAGTTATAAGTCAAGATTACACAAATCTAATTCAAAAGTTATAAAGAAGTTGATATATCTAATACAACTTAAAATGTATCGAGTAAAAATGCAATAATCCATTGCGTATGACGGACGCAAAGTCGGCTTCGCCCTCATGCCCTGTGTTCCTACGCTGCTTCATGTACTGCAGAGTCTCTCGAGCCTCTGCCATCATGGCATCTATAACGCCCCTCACCTCAGAGTCATCCAGAAGTAGTCCTATGTCAATTCCCGTCTGTCTCAGATGTCTGAATAGGTGAACTCATGCGTCTACGTGAAGATGGAGGCGGGGAGACATTAGCAGGGGACCCTCGCCTACTACGGGAAGACGAAGAAAAAGACGGAGATACATGAGCCCTGGAACCTGATGCCTCCGCATCAACCGGTCTAGAGGTAGAAGGAACCTGCGATTGCTGACTCTTTTTCCTTAGAACTAATTCATGTTGTGCAAGCATGTCCTGTCTCAATGGGGATGATCTTTTAGCTATAATTTCTGTAAATAGACAAGACAAGTGTTACACAATGAGTTCATTAAAAAAAGACAATAGCATTGCACAAACTGCTTACTGAGATGCATATCCGATTCTGGGTAAACGTTGAAACATTCCGGATATGCATCTCCGGAAACTTCTGCAACTCCAAGCATCATCAATGGCAGAATGTATATCTATTAAACATAAAAAATAATCTATCGGTCGTAAAAACTACCTAACTAAATCGTCCATCATTAGTTCTAAGCTATCAAACACTAAAAAAAATCGATTTCATAACCTAAAACTTAACTTCTACACAATTTTACACAAACTCAATAAACTTTACAAAAAACTTACAATTTGTGTCTTCAAGTTTATTGTTGTTGCTCAATATTGTTTGAAGTAAGATGTTTGATGAAGATTGACACTCTTTGATGTTGCTTGGATGTGTTATGAGTGAGTTTGAGAAAATGGAGGTGGAAAAGTGTTTTTGGAAATAGATTTTAAATTGAGTTTGTGTGAGTGAGGAAGAGGAAGGGGCTCAGACGTATATTTCAACGAATAGCATCTAGAGATACATCTACGTAACTCATTCAGAGATGCATCTCTGAAATAATTTTGCGTGAAATTAGGTCCTGGGCAAGAATTTTTCTAAAGTTGGGTGCGTCCAGAGATGTATCTCTGAAACATTTACGTAGATGTATCTCCGGTATAAAAAATTCACTAATTCAGGGTCTTGTTCAACATTGTGTTGAATTTTGATGCGTTAGGAGATGTATCTTAAGAACCTGGCGGCATAAATGTATTTTTGTGAGGTGCCCTAGTAAAGTATATGGTGCATTAAGAAATTCCCTTTAATAAATGGGAACTTCTTAGCCCCTCCATATGAGGTGAAAAAGAATCCTATGAAATTTAAAAATGCCCTCAGTTTCCAAAAATATATTTCCGGATGCACCATTTGTATAACACAGTAACGCACAAAAATATTGTCACCTTATGGCCAAACAAAATTTTATTCCGGAGATATTTGTTGCATCGTATTCAATGCATTTTTCGTTACACATTCGAGTGAGTTGTCCCGAGATATATGTTCAAATATTTGAAGCAGGAATTTGATAATCGGTCACCTTTGCATGTCGAATTGTTTCAGAGATGCATCTTCAAAAAAATAAAACGTGAAATTGCTAAAAATAGCCACCTGCATGATCAGACCACATGCCATTTTTTTCCATAAACCTTTCCCAAAATCCTTCCATTCTTGATCAAGATTTTTATTCAAAAACTTCATTCTTGTGTTTCATCAAATCAAAAGGAGAAAAAAAGTTGGAATTCAAGGTAAAATTTATTTATTTCAAGCCTCATTTCTCACATTAATCATGCTTTGAAGCTAAAAAAACTACGTTGAATCCATAAATGTATTTCTGAATTCTGTATGAATTCATCCAGAGATGTATTTTCGGATGTTGTCTGTTTCATTTTTCAGCAGTCTTTCTTTTTTCTTTTCAGTCTTAGTTGTTTCTAAGTATTTTATGTTTTTGTTTTAATTAGATATGGTGCATCATGATGTTTTCCCCAAACCTATCGTGTATCTGGATGCCAAACGCGTTGTTGTGAAGGAGGTAGACGTTGACAACCAATTTAAAAATGAACAAGATTTTGAATTTTGTGATCACATGCTTCAATAGATTCGTACAGAGACATCTAAATTGAGATTTGGTGTAATCGGAAGGTCCGATAATGGTTCGGATAGAAGAGATGCATTTGTGACATTGGCATGAGAAAGAAGTGGGAAATATATACCACCTCTCTAGAATTTCAAACGAGATGAAGTCGGTACAAGAAAATGTGATTTCCCCTTTAAATTGCATGGTTATCAGTCGACAAATAATAAATAGAGATTTAATGTAATATGTGATTTACATAACCATGATTTGTGCGAAAAATTATTTGGTCATCCAATTGCGTGTCGCCTCATGCCCGTAGAGAAGGAATGTGTTTTAGACATGAAATTGAGTTTGGTGCAACTAAAAAACATATTTGGCAACTTTGAAACGTAAAAGACCTGAGAATATCACAAATATCAGGCAATTGAACAATATTCGCTACCAAACTAACAAAGCGCTGAGGGGGGATAAAACTGAAATGCAACACCTCTTGAAAATTTTAGATGATAACAATTATGTATCTAGGTACCGAACGTCGAGGATGGAGTAACCATTAGAGATATATTTTAGACTCATTCTGATTCCATAAAGTTGTTCAACATATTTTCTACGGTCCTCATCATCGATTCAACGTATAAGACTAACAAGTACAAGCTTTCATTATTGGAAATTATTGGTGTTACCTCTACTGAGAAGACTTATTTAGTCGGGCTTGCATTTCTAGAGAGCGAAAAAGAAGAGAATATTACTTGGACTTTAGAGGCGTGTCGGGCAATGTTGAATGACCAAGAAGACATGTCGAAAGTAGTTGTTACCGACTGTGATACAATTTTTATGAATTCAGTTGTAAAGGTATTTCCTACATCTTATGCATTACTTTGTAGGTATCACATAACAAAGAATGTGAGAAGTCGATTTAAACTTGTGGTGGAGACAAAACATATAGAGGGCGAAAATGAAAAAATGGTCAAGGAGGGCGTCATTATGGAAAAAATAATGGATGCATAAAATGTTATAATAAATTCTTCTACAAAAGAGTTATATGATAATTTTGTTATACATTTTAGAAAGGTGTGTAAGAAATATCCAGATTTATTGAAATATGTTGAAAGTACAATTTTGGACCATGTTAAGGAGAATCTTGTTTGTGTTTGGACCGATTAGGTTAGACACCTTAGAAATGCAACAACAAACCGAGTTGAGTCTTCCTATGCTACTCTAAAGAATTGGTTGAGAAATAGTAAGGGTGGTTTGTATAGAGATTGAGACTCTGTGAACCAAACGATCCAAAACAAGCATAATGAGATACAAACATTCTTTGGTCGTAGCATCATGGTGTTGAAACACAGGTTCAAACAAAACAATCTTTATTCTCAGTTGGTCGACAACATATCTCGAGTAGGTCTGAATTATATTTTTTGACAAAGCCAATATAGTTGATAATGTAGATTCTGATAGCTCAAAGTGGGGTTGCACACTTGTAAAAACCTAGGATTTCCCATGTGCTTGTCTTATATCTAAGAAGGTGAAATTTGATAGTCTGATATAAATGGATGACGTGTGCACTTCCTGGAAAAGACTCATGTTTGACGATGATGGTGTCATAAAAGACGGTAAATCGAATATCTCTATCTTGACTGAATGGGAAGTGATATAAGATAGATTTTTGAAAGCTGGTGCCAATATGAAACTTCAAATTAAAGAGCAATTGAGGAATATTACATATCCAGAAACCGCAGACTTGAAACCACCATCTCAACCGGTAAAATCAAAAGAAGCTCCTAAAAAGGTCAAACCCACACCAAGTGACAATTCAACGACGCGATCTCCTTCATATTTTGAACATGTTGACAAACTTTTTCCGGATTCACCAACTCCGAAATCTCAAAAAGTGTTTTCAAATGAGCTCGCTTCAGCAAACGACCTTATTCATCGTAGAGGGTGACAATAATTGTGGATTTTAAAAATTTTATGCTTTGCTCGGTAAAGGAGAAGAGAGTCACACACTTGTCAGTCATCAACTTATCCAAGAGTTGAGGGGCAATAAAGAATCACACACATGA